GCACCGGGTAATCGAGTTTGGACGAGGCTTATTGCCCAAAGTCTCTGACTCGAGAAGCAGTCATTAAGAATGGAACAAGGTTAGCGTTTTCAAAGAGTCGCGCGACGCGGCGGAAGACGGCGAAACGCGGGAAGGTACGGTGAAAGGTGGTGGGGGGTAACGGCTGGGTTGGCCGTGAGGAAGGGTGGGGATGGCGAGCGATGGGTGGAGGGTGGGGAAAGCGAGTGGAGGGAAGGCATCACGAGACGCTCGTAACCGAGCAGCGTTGTGTCGCTTTCGGACGCAGGAAGTTGGATAAAATAATGAAAGAGGTGGACACAAAGGAATGGGAAGCCTTGGTACTATCTGCCTACCTACCGGTAACGAAATAAGTCGACCACGAAATGACATCCGCTCTGCTGCCAGCCTCTCGCTGCCATAGCAGTCTGTTTCCTCCTGGTTTCACCTTCCTTCACCTTCCTCCACCTGTCGTTACCCTCGCCTCGAGCACGAAAGAATTCGTTTCTGAGGCTTCGTTCGGGTTAACGGAAGCGTGTGGCATTTGCCATGTGATCTCGTACCTCTGGCATGTAAAACTAATTCTTCGTCCATGCTTGCAAATTGCTTCAATTGGACGAATACGGTTCGCACGAATCGACTCCGACAGGATTGAATCGCGGTTCGCTGCTTTAGCGAGATCATTGTCGGCGCTCGAGAACTCTTCTCCTCGTCCAGCCAAGTTGCTGGCGTTTCGATTATTTCGCGGATTGCCAGCCCCTTGCGCTGCGTTCCGTCAATGGGGGCGCTTCCTGCTTTTTTTAACGTCGTTGCTTTTCCTTTGAGACATCGTAATTGCAGGAAGAGTTAATTTGTGAAATCTTACGTTTAATAACGAATGTTTTCAAAGGTTTGTTTCTTTGTTATCTTTGAATAGAAATATCTTTTGTGAATTTATTTCTAGAAGCAAGATATCGCATTAACAGTTTATATTATCTTATTAATATTTTATATATCATATAAACTTTCTTTTATTGATTTTTTATTTAAATACACTTTGCAATATTGTTTCTATTCTTACCTTGTAATGTATTATGAAAATTTATTACATATAATTATATCAATATATATCAATGTTAGGTATATATCACATATCTTTTTCATTAATTGGTTTTTTATTGAAATATATTTTGCAATATTAGTTTTTTAATTTGAAAAATCGAGCATTCAATTTTTTTTATTACAATTTGAATTATAGTTTCTATGTTTAACTTAAAAAAGAACACAGAGGCATTTTTATAGGTTAGGTTCGGCACGTGTAAAACTATTTGCGCTTTATCGTCATTTTATTTAGGAATGGTCTTTTCAGTATTAATGGTTCTTTTAACACGATCCCCTAAAGTAGGTAGAGCAAACAAGGTTTAGTGAGCTTGATACACAGAGGAACATCCCAATACCTAATGTCATTAATTTCGACGACACTGTGAAATTTATATACCTCAGCGATATCATGTAAGTTCGCCATAATTTTGTGAACTGGAATTAAAAGCACGCTGAAACGAAGTATCAAAAACTTCAATAAAATTACTAAACAAATTTTCG